CTGATTGACAAAAATGATTCTTGAAATACGATGAGTTGATCATATGCAAACATTCATACTTTTTAAGCTAACATTCATGTTTTCAAGTTGAACATTAATTTACAAAAATGAACTATTTGTGTAAGTAGTTTTCAGAAAGTATTGCGTTTTTCCCTCATAAAAGTTCAAAACTTTAGTCGAGAAGTATGACTATTGAACGCAGCATCATCTAAATGAGATAATATCAAGATAGTTTTTGTAGTTGAGATACATCAATAGGTCTATTGCTTCAAAACTTAATTTTGAAAAGATTATTGAGGTTTTCTAAATTGAATAAATGAGTTAATGGATGTATTTTTACGTTGATAATAAGTTATAATCTAATTGTGTGTCGTTTGTTTTCAAATCCCAGGTTGCTGTTGCATGTGCAACTTCTCTTGCCCTTGAGAGGTGACTACTAGAGATTATGCCTTTGGTTAATTTTGTTTGAGAAGAAAATCTTGTGACATGGATTTTTATAATACTTGCACAAATAAATTCAGGTGAGTGAATTAAGAATTGTCTTTGTCCTGTTTCTATTTGCAGGGGATTTTCAGACCCAGTTTTTGGTCTAGCTGTAGTTTATGCCGGCCTCATCATGTATGATGCACAGGTTTGTGCCCAAAGCTTAGTCTCTTTTGCTGTTCGAAAAATGGATGTGCTGAGAAAATAATTAATAACCCGTCCTTAAAAATTAAAATGTGTCAAAGGTTTGGGCCCGGCCGCTATTNGCCAAAAAAAAATAAATAAATAAATAAACAAACTTTAGTCGTGTAATCCAATCGGTTGGGTCTTAAAAACCCGGTCTATATCAGGCCTAGGAAGTTAAACCCCAAACGACCCCTTAATTTCTCATGTTCAGGAGTAATTCCAAAAATGATTATGATGAATTTTCGACAATTTTTTTTTCCCATCAAAAGCCTTCACCTCCCTACTACATTATTAATGCTCTATAGTCAACGATTTCTTGATGCATTTTTTTTTCCCAAGGGAGTTAGGAGGGAAGTTGGTGTGCATGCCAAACAATTAAACAAAGTTCTGCTTCAAGCCACATCATACTCGAGAGATTCATCTTCTTCTAATGTAGAAAACATCGACCCACTTTTCTTAGAGGAGCAAAAGCCGACAGACTCTGCATTGTTACTCAAATCTGAAAAGACGATGCAAACGAGTAAAGTGGAGTTTAGTTGCTCTTCGCCATTAAAAGAATCGATCGGCCACACAGAAGTTGAAGTCATTGCAGGTGCATTGTTGGGTTTCTTAGTTAGTTTAGCTGTATGCCCATATGTTTGATACTTGAATAATGTGAATCGTAGTTACATTGTTATACGGCAATTTTTTGATGTCTTTGTTCGTATACGAGTTAATCATGAAATACTACGCAATTCGAAAGTCCTCGATTTTTTCTTCACGCTTTTCTCATATCCTCAGCGCCCCATTGTTTTTTTTTCCTTTCAATCCATGCATTACNAATATATATGATGAGTAGAGGTAAAAACAATCATGTAAGGTAGTGGTTCGGCAAGACTAATGGTTAGACAGTCATACTTTTTTTCGATATATATGCACTTTCAATCGAAATGTCATACTATAAAAAGCAGCATAAACAAAAGCATAACATTTCATAGCATATATTTGCATTTTTTGTAGAAGTATGATGGGGGCGGGTAGACAGATTGTTACAAGAATTTGTGAAAACAATAAATTTGATTATTTGAACCCAGAAGCAGCTAAAAAGCAGGAGCAAAACAAAAGTTTTATAATAAACACGGTTAACAACGATTTCTCTATATACAATTTTCTTCACTTGAACATTAGAAATCGATATTGATGCATATCAAATATCAATAAGCATAACACAACATTCTTCATATAATTAAGCTCAGCCAATGCAGTCTAAATATCTTTCATGGCAGCTCCCCAACAGTTGACATGAAAAAGAAAAATAAAATAAGAAAATTAAAAAAGCTGATAGTTTCCAAACCTAATGAAAATAATCCCCAGTTAACCATCAGCGACAGCACAAAATTCATAAAAACAAACATTAAAAAAAAAAACGATTTTTCANAAAAAAAAAAAAAAAAAAAAAGGAGAAGCCTACTTAGAAAATCTCGAAAATTCCGACTCGAACACATGGTAAGACAACGGGAGGCGCTGTGCTGGCGGCGGTGCCATGTCAGCGACCTGCGAAAACTGTTGGCATTTCCCCAACTGTTGTTCCACATTGTGGTGGTGATGGTTGGCGAGCAGCTTGTCCAGAAACGACCAGTCGCCGGAAAATTTCTCCTGCGGCACGAACCCGCTGGCCGGATTTAATCCAAGGAGGTTCCGAGACCCTTGCCCGTCGAGGGCCGTGGGGCCCACCGGTAGGGAGGGCAAAAACGAGTTGGGCGAGAGCAATGTCTGGTCGGGGCTCAGCAGTTGCGGGAGGTGGGTCGAGTTACTTCCATGGTCGAACGAGTAGCTCATGAACTGGGTCGGGTTCGGGTCGGGTAAAGTGTGCTTGTTCTGCACCGAGGTACAACCGCCCGATGCATGAAAAGGTACAATCGGGATGTCGTCTGGGTCGAGCTCGGGTTGGAAGCCTCGGGTGTGGTTCTTCTTCTTGAAGACTCGGCAGACCACCCAACCGTCTTCCTGCATGAGAGGATTATCGAGACTTGAATATATCAAGGGCGTGTTTGGTAATCGCTCATAAGTTAATTTCGAGTTTATATATAGCTGATGATAATTTATGACTGGAAAGTCAGCTGATATAACAAAAGCGTTTAAAGGTGTGTATTGGTAATTAAATCTAGTTGATAAGCTGTTAATAATAGCTCATAAGTTAATTTCGAGTTTATATATAGCTGATAAATTAAGCTGCCAAATTATGAGATTAAAACTTATTTGAATACTAAAAGTTATAAGGTAGCTTGCTATACTTACCAAACACACAGTAAATTACAATTTTATTCCTGTAATTACTATAATAACACTATAAAATCGATCAATTTTTAAATTGCTCGTGAGAAATCGATTACTTTTTACAAACCTGGATTTCAGCATTGTCATCATTGAGACGATATTCGTGCATGATCCAATCAGTCTTCTGACCGTGAGGGGCGCGACCCGTGTAGAAAACTAGGGTTTTTCTCATCCCTATCCTCCTCGAGCTGCTGAGGTGGATGGCCTTGTCTCGGCCAGTCGCCTTCCAGAAACCGGCGGCAGTTGCCCGGTTAGTGCGGGTCCCGGTAGGGTACTTCTTGTCCTTGTGGCTGAAGAAGTACCACTCGTTTTGAGGACCCGAACCGATCCGACATTTTTCTGCCCAAAATCATGTCAATACATATATAACATTAAGATGATCACTTAAGGATGAAATTTGTTATAATACATGCATGTGGTTACTACAAATTGCTTCTAATTAATCATCGATTTTTGGCTAATCGATATCGATGATTTTGTATTAAGAGTGAGTTTTGACTTCTTTCTGAACTCTATTATATGATTAGGAAAACAATTTTAGCTGAAATCTTTTATTTGTGTTGGGGAAGTTCAGAGCTACCTGTCCATGCACGTAGATTTTTGTCATTCAATCAACACACACACATGTGGGTATGTGTGTGAATGTGTGTAATCCAACGAGAATATACATTGCCTACACAAACTGCAGGATCGAATCCTCCTTTGTATTGTGGTATTATTTGAACCTAAAATATTTTCTTTGGTAAACTCAAAATCTTGATCACATGATTAGTACTAATTAAACCCTTTTTGGGAAACCAAATTAAATAGGAGCTTTCGAGTTAATTTTAGTTTGTTCCCAGGCAAATGCTGGCCTTTTAACTTAATTTCCACTTGGTTTGGCATAAAAGTCAGCAAAATAAGGTTAATTTCCATTTAATTTCCCCATAATTAAGATTTAATGTAATTGTTTATGCTAATCAGCAGAATGGCCCATGCAAAATATGAGGTCACATAATCAAAGGTATCCAATGAATAAATAAATCTATATAGAAGATTATCTTATATATATAATCAGTACTTATATTCCTTTGATCACTTGATCATTTTTTTTCTTTGGATATTAACAAAGCATATGAAATATTTTAGTAGAGTTTGTTATGTAATATATGAACTGGGACATGATTAAAGCTTTAATTAATATTGGTAGGGGACAGTTAACCACTCAACTATAAAATTTTAAACTCCTGTATTAGTTTATGAAATACAATTTAAAGTTTTCATCTTAATTGAAAAAATTATCTTTTAATTTTGAAAAAAAAAATATTTTTTAATTAGTTGCCTAATTAAATCACAGAAAGACAATATATGCTTTAAAATTATCCTACAAATTACACACAGAAATTAAAAGAAAAAAAAAAAAAAAGGAAGTACCTTTGAGATCCCAAGGCTCAAGTTTGTTGAGATCAACTTCTCGAATGACATCTAAGTCGATCGGCTCGTACGAAACCTTCTTCCTTAGGTAATAATACAGCAATTCCTCGTCTGTCGGGTGAAAACGAAATCCCGGTGGGACTGATAACTCTCCATTTCCAGCCATATTATTATTCATATTCGAATTACAATTTAATCCGCTCTTAATCGATTGATGACTTACTTATCCTGCATGCAAAAGAGGGGCCAAGATTATAATTGTATGAGGATATAATATATATATATATATATATGTGCTGCAAGTTTTTGTTGTAATTCATCTCTCTCTCTTTTTTTTTTGGGGGTGATTTGATTTCGTTATTTATTTCCTATATTATAGCTAGTATTTCCACACAAAAAAAAGATAAATAAGTAAAACCCTATTTCATAAAATCATGCAAGATAAGTTGGTAGCATGTACAAAAAAAAAAAGTTGGTAACATGTACAAGAACCCTAGCTAGCTAGGCTGAAATTTATATTTGATGCAAATAATTAACCACTATATTTTANAGCCAGAAAAGAAAAAAGCTAGCTAAAAAAAGTTTAAATCACACCGCGAGTTCCAGAAAGAGAAGAAAATTAAATGAAAAATGAACGTTGAAACCGATCGAGTAAAGCCTTTCTAAAGGAAGAGAGAAAATGATAAAATGCTAACCTTTTGCTAGGGTTTTGGTGTGTAGTGTTATGTGGTTGCTGAAAGTGAGAGCAAAATGGTTTTGGCCAATTTTTGCGGTTTGAAGAGCACACAAATCGAGTGTTGTTAAAAAGAGGGGGCATTGCGTATACACAGCTAAATAAAGAAAATGAGAGAGACTATAAAAATGAAAATATATTATGTGAGTAAGATTAATTAAGATTTGAGTAATTGCAAGTGTGTACACATTATGCCTATATACAGCTGCAGATGGGAACAAGAAATGATAAATTAAGAACATAAAAATTAATTTACTAATACATTAATTAAGAACTAGTGGTTGTAAATCGTTATTTAAATTGACATATAGTGTGATAGTTCATTTTCAATTCAGAAGGGATTAATTGACTATATCTATATGTCTACCTTTATAAATCATTCTCAAAACAAAAACAAAACAAAAAAAAAAAAAAAAAAAATGCATTCTTTTTTTTTTAGCTACGATGGACACAAACTAATTATTTAAATTGTCTTTGAAATTGAACGCATACATACAAGGTATGAATATTTGAGACGAGTCGAGTATTGGCCGTGTGAAGCCGCATGCTCGATTATTTTGGCACCTTCTGGAGCTCGACAAGCCTATCTTCACTATAAAAAAATTGTTATATTCCAACGGGAAATCATACGATAATATATTCCAACGGAGATTCCAACGGATATTCCAATGGTATAACATGGAAATTCAAACGAAAATATTCCGTTGGAATGTGTGTTCCATTGAAATTTTAGATGGAATTTGATGATTCCAACGGTTTTTTACCATAGACGTTTTCGTTGGAATATGCAATTTCCGTTGAAATTTTATTTTCACATCCGTTGGAAAATCTAGGATCGATGCTACAAAAGGATGGCGGCATTGATGCTGATGTTAGGCATAGAATTGCAGCTGGTTGGTTAAAATGGCGTCAAACGTGCTCTGTGATAAGAGGGTGCCACAAAGGCTAAAAGGTAAGTTCTATAGGACGGCGATTCGCCCGGTGATGCTATACGGTGCTGAATGTTGGCCTACAAAAAGGCAACATGTCCAACAACTAAGTGTAGCAGAGATGCGTATATTGCGTTGGTTCTGCGGGCACACAAGAAGGGATAGAATCCGGAATGAGGATATTCGAGATAGGGTTGGGGTGGCTCCAATTGAGGAGAAATTGGTCCAACATCGACTGAGGTGGTTCGGACATGTCCAACGGAGGCCTCCTGATGCACCGGTGCGTAGGGGAGTTCTACAGTGGGTCGAGGATGTAGAGAGAGGTAGAGGTCGGCCTAAACTCACTTGGGAGGAGTCGGTTAAGAGAGACCTTAAAAATTGGAATATCTCCAAGGATTTAGCGGTGGATAGGAGCGCTTCGAGACTAGCAATCACCGTGCCAGAACCGTGACTTTTGCTCTTTTCTCTTTTTGTTCCAACCTCTTCCTTTTGTTTCGAGTCTTTTTTGTGTTTCTCTTACCATTGTTTCTCTTGGGTTTCATCTCTAGTCTACCCCGACTTGCTTGGAACTAAAGGCTATGTTGTTGTTGTTGTTGTTGTTGTTGTATCCGCTGGAAAATCTACTGTTGGAATCGTCAAAATCCAACGGAAATTCCAATGAAAAACTCATTCCAGCGGTATATTTTTGTTGGAATTTCCGTTAGAATTCCATTAAAATATAATTGTGTTGGATTTTTCTATTGGAATTTCATCATTATGTTGTAGTGCTTGCTTGAGGTTCGGCTCAACTCAACAACATAATACAAACTTTTGAAATCAGATCGGCTCAAAATTTCCAATTAAAAATAATTTATGAGGGGTATTTGGGGAATGTTACATACATTCGAGCAATTTGTCAAGCTCTCGAGCATACAAACAACAAGCTCAAGCTCAAGCTTAACTTCGAATTCGAAATGCTCGAACTCGACTCGAATGCTAGTCACTCGACTAGTTTGCATTGCAGCCCTGGTAACGTATAACAATCAGGCCTCATAACTAGCATAACCCATTATGCATGGCTCATTAAACTAACAGATAGTTGTGTTTAGGTATTTTGTTAGGCAAATATATGTGAACTAACAGATAGTTGTGTTTAGGTACTTTGTTAGGCAAATATATGTGCATCCTCCTGTGCTCAAATCTCATGTTTTTAAACATTGTATAACGATAAGTAAAACTATCATTTTTTTCTTCCTATTTTTAAGAAAATATGACCAAGCATTATTTGTGATTTATGATGAATGTAAGAAACGGGGGTAAACGGGTGCGGTTCCACGCAGGTGAAGTGCACCATAAGTAGGGAAAATCCAGATGAAGCCTAGATGGGGTTCCATCTCAAAACTAATTGGTGGAAGGAGGATAACTCATTAGACTTATAAGGTGGGTCTATTTTCCATGTATAAACGATGTGGGACAACTCACAAAGGATATTCTAACAATGAGCAACATGGAGAATGTAGATCATTAATTAGCAGCATAGTTTTTGAACCCGGACCATGATTGATCCTTGTTGAACTCTAGTCATCGGTTTACCCGTTCAACCGTCGGATTATTGGGTCAATTGTTGAACCGAGTAATTAATTTTATAAAATTTTAAATTATTTTATTTTATTTTTATCTTATAATCATACATAAAATAATAAAAATAACATATTTATATTTAAATTTTATACCTCAAAGACTTAATAATATTGTATGTTGTCATAAATATTTAGCACACGCATAAATATATATACATAGTTTTATTTTTAAAAATAAAAAAGATAAAAAAATTATAATGGTTGGATCTGACCGAGTTGACCCGGGCTAGATCATTACCCAGGTCGATCGCATCAAGGCCGAGTCGACCGGGTTTGACCGAGTCAACATCCCTTGCTACCCTGTCCGATCAACTCATCCAGACCGGTCTCGGCCTTGGGTCGACCCGCCAGGCAAGTAAGGATTTCAAAACAATGATTAGCAATGCCAAAATAACTGTGTATACATTAAGTTGCTAACTTCAATTTATATATATATATATTTATAAATTTATATGTATATAGAATGTCACAAAATGTCTTTTTGTCCATACATCATCCTAAGAATATGAACACATTTTACTACATACATATGTCCCTTTGTATATGTAAGCATGCATGAAATGAGTACATGTTTGGTCTCTTCTGTTACAGTTTGTACAAAATTTAGGGATAAACCAAAAATATTTGAAAATGTCGTTGAATTAGGAGACCCATCCCAAAATTCGCCGCATATGAATGATGAATACCTGCATCACTGTTATAATTACTAAGACTATAGTCCATATATATTTTTATTAATCAAACTGTCTATTTTTATTTTTATTTTTATGTATCTCCAAATTTTAATTGCTTATATATTTTCTATGTGCATATGTCCTTACTTGCTCTGGTCAGAGTCAAACCAAGAATGAGGGAATTTTATTTCTTTCTGTTAACATTCTTCCTAATTTGTATGCATATGCATGCACACACATGCATATATACGCATTATTGTTTGAAAAAAGTGGATCAAGAGATGGGTTCTTTTAGTTTTAATTTTTCTGTGTTTTTCCTCTCAACCAATGGGTATGAACATTCACAAAATAGGACGACATAAAACATATTTATATGAATATCTTGTAACTAGCTACTAGCCAACTTGTTAGATCCAAATGTTGGTGTAAGATGGTCGAATAGTAATTAATTAAACGAATCAATATGTCATAATTTTTTAGCAAAAAATATATACTTATATAGTGAAACATCATATATGTATTTGTGTTTAATTTAAATTAGTACGGTACCCGTGTGATGCACGGAAGTATTTATTACATATTTATGTTTTAAAAGGTGTCATTAAAAATTTCATGAAAATGAAATTTATATGTTATTAAACACTTCCTTATGTATAACATTATTGATTTGATTCTTTGGCACGTAAAGTACTACATAGGTGTTCGAATTTATCCAAAATTGCATATGATTAGTTATTAGTTAACAAATTTAAAAAAATTAAAAGATCTTATTTATTAAAAAAAATTAAAGTAGAAAAAAATAGAATTTTTTAGGGATTTTCACCCAATATTTATTTTAATTCTAAATTTCAAATAAGAAAAATTGAAAAGAATCATTAGTTACTCCTGGAAATGAAACCGATTTTCCTACCAACAATCCGATTTTTTTATCAAACAAATTGATCTGAATTTTTTTTTTTAAAACAAATAAAAAAATCATCAATTTTTCCTAAAAATACAACCGAATTTTCCTAACATTGCACCGATTTTTGAACCAAACAAATTGAATTGAAAATAATTCTAATAAAAATTTAAAATAAATTGTTCATGTTTATGCAACTGTCTCTTTCCTAAAGAAAATGATATGAACTTAACAAAAAAAAATTATATGAATTTACCAAAATATCGGTAAAACATGGTTAAGAAAAACATAAGAATCCAAAAAAATCGATGCATTTAAATTTTGAAAAGTTGCACACAATTTTCCTAAATAATTGGATAAGGTGACTTTAAATATCAGTGATGAACCGTTTTTGTTACCAAAAAATGTGGACACAATTTTAAACGTACATCCCATCCAAATATCAATTTTATTTTAAAATTAAAATTGCACGTGGCTTTATTCAATTTACACAATTTTTTTAAAATAAAAAATTAGTCAATAAGATTGGAAGAATTGTTAAGAATTATACAACTATTTGCTTACTAAATTTGTATCCAATTTGCATGGGTTTTAAATTAATTTGTATTTAGAATTGTTTTCATAAATAATTGACACATTTTTGGCATAAGAATCTCCAAATTTGTTACCAAAAAAGATATGATTTAAATTTTGGTAAAATAATAAAATATAATATATAAAAATGGGATTTAAATTTTGCCTAAGAATCTTCAATTTTGTTACCAAAAATAGGATTTAGATTTTGTTACTAAAAATTCACATGTGTTTTTTTAAACTTTCCATTAATAGTAAGTCAAACATTATATTTATTTGGTCAAACTTTCTATTAATGTATTTTTCCAACAACCTCTTTATATATATATATATATTGATATAGATATAGATTATAACTTATTTCATTATGAAGTTGTGTATAATTATCAACAAATTACACATTGAAAAATATGACTGTATAACACTATAATAGTTAGATCTGTTTAATAACAACAATACTATAAGTTAAGAGTAACATATTTCTTTTTCTTTCATAGTTCAATTTAAATCTTCAATTATATTTCTTTATTTTATCAAATGTGAATTTTAATGTTCAATTTAAATCTTCAAATACATATTTCATGTTTCATCAAATGTGCAAATCGTTTACACAATTATAACATCATCATGTACATATGGTAATATCATTAGCAGATAGATTAATACAATTGAAAAATGAATGAAATGAAAGATTCTATATGCTCTCCATAGAACTATATAGATATGTGGATAATTCATTTATTTACAACTTAAAAGCTTATAATAGGACCAGTCGTGATACATCTTACAATATATTTCTTTTTAAAGACAAAATTACAAGGCCACCTAAAACAATTAACATTATTCATAACACCAAAATAACATCCCGTGTGGCCGTACCATATTATTATTAATAAATTTCACTAAAATTCGATTTATGAGACCAGTCAAAATGGAGATTGCCTTTAAATCTGGAGACTAAATTGACCACATGTCCCATGTCACATCAATGTGAAGAAACCAATTCCTTGCCAACTTGTTCATGATAGTCTTTGATATGGACAGTACAACTTCACACGTACGCACAAATGCATAATTAAATAATTAATGATTTTATGATTAGTGCCTTTTTTAATCCCTTTTTGAATTTCCCAAACTTATGGCCAATTTCTTATACTTTTGTAATTTAATTTTATGTTTTGGTTTATGTGATTGGTAATCCTGTATTTTTTTATTTTTTTTATTTTTTTTTTTTGCGATTTGGGTCAACCCATATGGATCTCACCTTTTATTCGTATTAATTAAAAATTTTAAAATTACAAAATATTTGACTAAATTAAATTTTAATTATATTTTAAAAGTTAATATATAATTTCCATATTTGATTTAAGATATTCATATATTTAGTCATCTCTTAAAAATTTAAATAAAATATATTTAGATATACCGCATTATAAAATTAAATTATCTGTCATGAAAAATAATAAAACTACTAATCAATTAAATCAATTTATTTATCAAATTCACTATGTATATGAATAAGAAAAGGTACGCTACAAGAAAATGATAATATTTTAAAATAAAATTCTAATAGAAATATATTGCAATGAAATTCCAACGTCAATTTCAATGGATATTCCAATATTGTTATTATTTTCGTTGAAATTTTTAAATGAATTCTAACGAAAATTCCAACAAAAATATTTCATTGGAATTTACGTTGGATTTTGATGATTCCAACGATAAATTTTTCAACGTTTAAAAATTACAATATAATTGAAAAAAATACTCCAACGAAAATAGCATATTTCAACATAAATTCTTATGGTAAAAAATCGCTGAAAAAATAGTCGTTGGAATTATCAAATTTCATCTAAATTCCACTGAAAAACTCATTTCAACGGAATATTTTATTCTAAATTTTCGTTATTATTCCAATGAAAACTATCTCATTTGAATATATTACTTAATGATTTTTCTTTACAATATTGTATTTTTTTGTAGTGGTAATAATAATATAGGAGGGGCAGATCGTGATAAATATCATTTTAAACATAAATAATAACAAAAATTATTTAAACTTAATACAAAAACTTCTTTTTAAACATATCTTTTCAAAATTATATAATTTTTTATTAACTCCTACTTACTTAATTCATTAATTAACCTTGAATTGTCAAAGGTTTTGCCACCTCCATGACTCAAAATCCAGCTTGCTTCCAGTTAATAACCCAAGTTGACCCACCCTGGGGCTACTTTGTGGTTTGACTAATTTTGGGTGTTTGAGAATAAATATCATAAATATCACAAGACTTTGCAAAGGGGGGAAAATAAAATAAGGATAAAAATGTGGGATCGTTAGGTGCATT